AGACGACACACACACACACACACACACACACACACACACACACACACACACACACACACACACACATACATACGAACTATGCCAAGGAGCGTATGCGGATTCACGTAGCTGCACACACACAAAGTAACATAGCTACGGAAGACGCGCACGGAGAGGGAGAGAAGCAGAGATACTGCGATCATACGTTCCCATCACATACAGACACAACACACACACACACACACAGCCACAACACACACACACACACAACACACGCACAGACACACACACACACACACACAACACACGCACAGACACACGCACAGACACACGCACAGACACACACACGCACAGACACACACAACACACGCACACACACGCACAGACACAGACACACACCAAACACACACACCATACCGTGTGAAGGTCGCGGCGGACGAGGATCAAGACACCAAAGGAAAAGCCGATGAAGAGAGGCAGCAAGCTGGCCACAGCAAGCACCAGCCCAACCACATCGCCTTGTTCATACTCCACCACCGTCACCGACAGCGGCACACGCTCCACAGCCACAGCATCCTCCATCATCGTCACCACCACTCACCGCAAAGCAGTTCCACTTGTGCGACGTCCAACACGAAAACCACAACCGAAGAACAAAGCAGCACAACGACAACAACAGCGCTGACATGTTTGAGGAGGAAGAGGAAGAGGGGGAGGAGGAGGAGGCAGAAGGGGAGGTGACAACCGCACCACATGGTGGACAGCAGAAGATGCAGGATGGTCCAGCCGTGGAAGAGGAGAATCCCACGTCTGCGCCTGCGTCAGCAAACACCACCCACAACGGCCACGGCCCCGACAAGACAAGTGCAGGCTCAGCACCAGCATCAGCGCCTACACCACCAGCGACAGTGCCAGCGACAGTGACAACAGCGACGGCACCTTTTTTCTCCATTCGCATCATCGACGCAGACTTCCAGGTCCGCCCGTCCATCCCGCAGCTGGACGAGGTCTACAGCGTGTTCCGCTGCTGTCCTCTTCCCAGAGCACCAGTGATCCGCGTCTTCGGCACCACGCCACGCGGGCAGAAGGCGTGCTGCCACGTGCACGGCGTGTACCCGTACATCTACGTGCCCCTGATTGGCCGCAAGCCGGGGCCGAGCGACCTCCTTCGCATGGCCACCGCCATCGACGGCGCCCTGCACAAGTCCATTGTGCTTGACCAGCAAGAGCGGGCCAATGCCAGCAGCACCGCTGCTGCAACCAGTGGACCCAACCACAACGCGCAACAACAACAACAACAACAACAACAACAACAACAACAACAACAACAACAACAACAACAACAACAACAGCAGCAGCAGCAGCAAGGGCGTCGGAAGGAGCGCAAGCAGCAGATTGAGGTGGCCAACATCGAGGTGGTGAAACGCATCAACTTCTACGGCTACCACGAGGGCGAGCAGGACTTCCTCAAGATCTCCCTGATCAACCCATGGCTCGTGCGCCGCACCGCAGACCTGCTGCAAGAGGGCGTGATCGGCAACATCTTCTACCAGCCGTTCGAGGCACACATCCCTTACTTCTTGCAGTTCATGACCGACTACAACCTGCAAGGCATGAACTACATCCACACCAAGCACGCCCTCTTTCGCACGCCCCTGCCCGAGCTGTCCGATCCTCACGCGTCCCTCTCGCAGGGCGCCAGCAGCCAGTACTGGTGCAGCGCCACCGTCAACCCGTCGCTTCTCCTTGTGCCCACCGGCTTTGGCGGGCGGCGGCAGGGCCAGCGCGAGACCTCGTGTGCCGTGGAGTGCGACATCACCGCCGCCAGCATCATCGTGTCCGCGCGGTACGGGTCCACCGCCCATGTCAAGGGCTCATTCGACCTGCACGACACCTCGCTGCCAGTCAACCCGGGCTTGGTTGCGCTGTGGGAGGACGAGCAGCTGCGCCGCCGTGCACGCGGGCAGGCGACGCAGGTGGCACCGCTGACCAATGTCGAGCGGCGTCGCGTGCGCTCGCAGACGACAGATCCAACCACGGCCAACGAAGAGTACTTCCGCATGCTGCTGGATGCAGCTGTGGCCAAAGACCGGCGCCTCAAGGCCAAGCTGCAGAAGGAGACGAAGGAGGAGGACAAGCAACAGGAGAAGAAGAAGAGGAAGAAGCAGAAGAAGAAGCAGACGGAAGGGGAGGTTCAAGAAGCGAAAGGCAACATGAAGAATGGGTTGCTGTCTCAGGGCGGGTTTCATGACGAGGAAGAGGAAGGTGGGGGTGAAGAGGGGGAGGAAGAGGAGATCCTGCCATCCCAGATTGCGGTGGATCGTTTGCACAGTGTCAGCCAGTCCCTGGACACGCTGTCGCAGGAAGGGCAGGATGTGGTGGACATGCTCGGTGCCATGTTTGACCTCAGCCAGGAGGTGGGGACGGACGAGTACGCAGGCGCCGGTACGCAGGAGGTCGATGTGCATCTGATGGAGGAGCGAGCGCGTGCGCTGGCAGCAGGAGGCGATGGCAGTGATGGTGATGATGACAAAGTCTCTCGTATTGATGATGGCTTGGATGATGATGAGGATGACGCTGAGGATGATGCTGAGGGTGACGCTGAGGATGAAGAGCATCTGGGCAGCGCTGATCATTTTCTGGATGGGGAACAGCGCAAGAGGCTTGGAGGCGATGCTGCTGTCATGAAAGGAGATCGCAGGAAGGAAGCTCGCGGTGGCAGTGACAACGATGATGATGACGATGGTGACGAAAACCATGGTGATGATGGAGTGCAGGACAGCCTTGTTGAGAAGGTGATGGAATTAGAGCGCAGAAGAGAAGGTGTCAGCCGTGTGACGAACAATGAGAGTGACAATGGTGACTGGTTGACAACACAGGCACGCACACAATCCACCCAACGCACACCGAGTACACAGCGCAGCCTGAGCGGGCAGCGCTCCCTCGCTCGCCGGCGAAGTGTTGAGGGCGGAGATGTGGGACCTGGGGACCTGGATGATGTTGGCGGTGTGGACTTCGTGAACGATGAGTTGCGCGAGTCCATGCTCATGTCACAGGCGTGGGATGCTGGTCTCTTGGATGACGACGACGACGACGACGACGACGACGCTAGCGAGCGCATGGGTCGCGGACATGGGGATGGAAGCATGAATGTTGAGGAAGAGGAGCATCTTTCAGCGATATCTGGAGAGCGTGGCACGATGGATGTGAGAAATATGGATCAGCAACAACAACAACAACAACAACAACAACAACAACAACAACAACAACAACAACAACAACAACAACAACAACAACAACAACAACAACAACAACAACAACAACAACAACAACAACAACAAGCGAGTGCATCGGCGCTGCCATCTCCTGTCACTGCACTGCCCCACCTTCCTGCTCCAACCGCCACATCAACACAAGTGGCTCATGTGCTGACTGATCAGGCACCTGCTCCACTTACACAGCTGCTGTTTACATCACCCTTGCGCTTGCCGAGAAATGCACCCGAGTCATCCACGTCATCATCGTCATCGTCGTCGGTTTCATCGCCCGCCCACCGCCCGAATGCTCCCGAATCCATCAACAGGCCAGCAACACAACCAGCTCGCGAGCACGGCGCTCCAATAACGACGAGAGCAATGAGCACAACGACAGTAGCACCAACAACAACAGCAGCAACACACACAGCGACAGCAAAAACAACAACAGCAGCAACACACACAGCGACAGCAATGAGCAGCATTGCATTTCCGCGCGCTGACGACCCTGCTCTGCAAGAGGGACGCATGGCATGGCGTGATGCAAGCGAGTTCCGGCAGCCAAAGTACTGCCTGCCAGGTCAGATGAATGTGCTGTGGAGAGCACAGCGGCTGTCACCAGAGCAAGACCCGACGTGTGTGTATGTGTCGCTGCCAATGCTCACGCCCTCATCACCAACAGCTGAAACTGAGCGGCACGAAGAAGCAGGCGGGGTGGAGACTGCAAGTGGCCACAGACACGGTGCCTCATCTTCTCCTCCAACCACTAAAGCCGTCGCATCACCAACGGCCCTGACGCAGCAGCCTGGCGTGACCTCGTCTGCGCTGGAGGTGGCGCCTCGCCACGCAACACAGAGGCTGAGCATGTGGTCCCAGTGCATGTCCGGTCACGCAACAAACCGCGCCAGGGCCAGCAACCAGCATGATGAGGATGCTGGTGCAGACGATGAAGATATGCCGAGCAGCGGTGCTGTTCCAGAAACGCTGCTTCCACTGCTAGCCACGCCACATGATACGCAGCAACAAGGCCAGCTCCCACAAAGTCTGGACAACAATGACACTGCCGCTATGACAAGCCCTGAAGCAACACCACCAAAGGCAGGCGAGCAGCAACAGCACTTGGAGACCGCATCGCCCGCGTCCTCTCCTCACATTCCGCCGGGCCAGCCGCCCACGCTGCCGTCTGCTGCCCTCGCTTCCCCCTACTCGCCCGCTCCACACACGCAATCATCGCAAGCGCACACCTCTTCAGCACCAGCACCAGCACAGTCGTCGGCGACAGTTGACCGCACTGACGACGAGATTGATGGTGGCCGTGCTGGTCATCGTGGTGGTGGTGATGATGATGGTGGTGACAATGATGGTGACAGCGATGGTGGTGGTGACGATGACGATGGTGGTGGTGGTGGTGTGCATGGCCAATCACCCTCCATAGCAACACAAAAGCGCCGTGTTCACCGTGAGATGGGGCCCGTGAGCCCGATGAGTCGCCTTCGCCATCGCTCGCGATCACAGCTGCTGTCGCTGCGCCACGCCGTTGTCGCGCCACTGCGGCCGCTCTTCAACTCGCTCGCAGACCGCGCAAGTGCAGATGAAGAGGAGGAGCAGGACAGCGCGAAACCATCCGCCCTGCGCCATCCCCCGCACGCTGGTGATGTGGGCGTCTCCAGTAATTCTGCGGTCACGTTTGAAGCAGCAGCAGCAACAGTAGCAGATGCGTGCAGAGGAGGTAGTGACGGCAGCACCCCACGGAATGTGTTGCCATTGTGGCCGAGTCTTTCACGGAAAGCAGCACACCAGTTCCATGTTGATGTTGGTGTTCGTGGTGGCGCTTCCATTGATGAGACCAGCAGAAGGCACCGGCGCCCTTGCTGTCTGCTGCACTACAGCTTACCGCCACCGACGACACAGGATCTGCTCACGTCACTGCAGCGTGCGGGCATTCATGCTGAGCGCCATGTGGACCCCTTCTTCTCGCGTGCAGAAGACATCCCACCGAATGGAACCACGCGTGCGCTTGATGGCTCCACTGTGCGGTGGCGCTGGCCCGGTGCTGTGAAGCCAAAGCAGGCAGAGGGAGCAAGCCGTGCACTCGCCCTGTGGGAGCAGCAGCAATACGTGCTGGCAGCAACGACAAAGTTGAGGCAGCGGACGCGAATACAAGCGGCCGTGATTGATTTGGAGGCGCCGCAGCCGCTGGCAAACACTGGCATCGTTGTCATCACTCCCGCTCGCCCGCCCCCTTCCGCAGCAGCACTGAAGGCGCAGGTGGCGGCAACAGCAGTTGATGGCAGTACGCCTGACGGTGGTGCAGGACAGCAGCACGTTGCGACCCTTGGCAGCCAAGGTCATGGCGACGAAGATGTGCGTGAAATCGGGAATGGTGCTGAGGGCGACACGTCGCCGGCCAAGCGCGGGAAACGCATGTCGCGGGTGTTGGCGTTCTCCGGACAAACACAGACGCAGCAGTCGCAGTCGCCGCGGGTTGCATCACTCACACCAATCACGCCGCAAGTGCCGCTGATGCAGGGTACACAGCTCTCCTTGTCAACAATGGACGACACGGCCAGCACGTTCAATACAGCGCCTGACACCAGCGGTACCACAGACCGAAGCGCAGAACACACCACAGGCGTTGCTATTGGTGGTGTTGATGGTGCCGGTAATGATGGTGGTGGTGCAGGCGACGAGCCCCGTCCCAAGCGCCCAAAGGTGCAGTTGTTTTTTTTTTTGGTTTTGTTTTGTGTGTGTGTATGTGGAGATGCGTGTTTGTGTGCGTATGTGTGCGTGTTTGTGTGTGTTTGTGTGTGTGTGTGTGTGTTTGTGTGCGTATGTGTGTGTGTGTGTTTGTTTGAGTGTGAGTGCGTGTGTGCGCGTGTGTGTGTATGAGTGCGTGTGTGCGCGTGTGTGTCATATGCGGCTAGGCCGTTCGTACTGATCTGTGTTTGCTTCCATCGTCACCTCCCTGCCCCCTCATGCTGTTGATGAAACTTCAGGGAAGCGGCGGGTCCCGAACAAAGGGCGTGACGCCAGGCGACACCTACGGCTTCAAGATGGAGACACAGCACGTGTCCCACACTACAGTGCGTTGCCCCGTCATGACGCCTGCGTCACACATCACACGTCGTGTTTTGGACCCCTGTGGAGATGGATAGGTCCTTTGTCGAAAAGCCTCACCGTGTTGCTTTGACTGACATTGTGCTCATCATTTTCTGCATGCAGGCTTTGCAAACACAGCAGCATCTGACGCTGTTGAGCCTTGAGCTAATGGCCGACAGCCGAGGCCAGAAACAGGTGCGTTCCCGGGCGTATGCCTTTGCGCCATGGTGTGGCGTGTGTGCGTATGTGTGTGTGTGTGTGTGTGTGTGTGTGTGTGTGTGTGTGTGTGTGTGTGTGTGTGTGTGTGTGTGTGTGTGTGTGGGTGTGTGTGTGTGGGTGGGTGTGAGTGTGGGTGTGGGTGTGGGTGTGGGTGTGTGTGGGTGGGTGTGTTCAGCGTCGCAGCAGTGGTGTTAGTGCACACAATGCTGTTGACTCCTGCCACTCACCACTGACCGCGCCATTTATCACACTTTCCACGTGCATGCGCAGAGTGACCCCGAATTCGACCCGATTCTCGCCCTCTTCTGCGTCGTGCACGATGACCAGGAGCCAACAGCCTCCGCTGTCAAGAAGGTGGCAACAACCTGTTTGCTTGCTTGCTCGTTTGCTTGCTCATGATATTGATTTGCCACGTGTGCACCACTACGTGCAAGAAAGTTTTAGCATACGTTTGATCGCTGGTGCGTGGAGTCGTGGATCCTCGTTTCAGTTGGTTACTTTTCATGTGCGATGGATGGGTGCTGGATTTTACAGGTCGTAATGACGCATCGCACCTCCAGCCAGGCAGGCGCCACATCAGCAATGCTTGGATTGCGTCGCGTGGACGTCATTGAAAAGAATTCAGAACGCGAAATGCTCGACACATTCATTGAATGGCTCCAAACGTACGCAAGGCGTGTTGTGTTTTACTGTCTTTGTGGTGTGTATTGTTGTTGTGTTGTGTTGTCCTTGTGTTTATATTTGGCCTGACATCTGTGCACGCACCACAGGGGCAGCAACTCACGCGCCTTTTTTTTTCTCACCTCTAGGTTGGACCCTGACTTGATCATTGGATATGAGATCCAAATGGGCTCATGGGGATATCTCATTCAGCGCGGCCAAGTGAGCGCACGCACTGCTTGCCTTGGTTGTACTTACACTGAGATGGACAACACACAGACTTGCACAACTCACATACACATGTTTTTGTATGTGTGTGTTGCGCGTTGCGTGCGTTTTGCAGGTGCTTGGCTTGGACATGGTCGTGCTTCTCTCTCGCACACCCTCCACGTCCTCGTCTTCAGGATTCAAGGACGACACGACAAACGAATATGGCGCTCGACACACGTCCGAGTTTCGTATCGTTGGTGTGTTCACCCGTGGCTGCTTTGGCATCGGCAATGTGTTGCGTCACAAATTACCTTGTGGTGCCGTTTGTGGTCATGTGTTGCGCGCATATTGTGTCACATTAACTTTAGCATGTGTGTGTTTTTCTCACACGGCCCCCACCCCTATATTCCTTGCTGTGCATTTCTCAATTTGTGTTCGCGTGGGACCAGGGCGAGTGATCCTCAACCTGTGGCGCCTGCTGCGACACGAGCTGGCCTTGACCTCATACTCGTTTGAGAACGTCATGTTCCACATCTTGCACCGCCGTGTGCCCGCATACTCGCAGCAGCAACTGCGCAATTGGTATCACAACACCCACGCCCCTCTGAGGTGAGGTGGCAATGTTGTGCTTCCCGTGTGGCGACATACGAATGGCACGATTGTACATCCGTCGCGGTGTCATTGATATTGAGTGCCGGTGTCAGCATGCACTCGTTCCAGCTCCCTTCATCGCGCTCCTCTCCTCACTCACTCACTCACTCACTCACTCACTCACTCACTCACTCACTCACTCACTCACTCACTCACATACACATACTCACTCACTCACTCATTCACTCAATCAATCAATCACTCACACTCACTCACTCACTCACTCACTCACTCGCTCGCTCACTCACGCTTACCGAATCACTTTGTAGGTGGCGCGTGTGCAAGCACCTCTTGTTCCGTGCACTCTCCTGTCTGCAGCTGATGTATGAAATCAATTTCATCGAACGCACGAGCGAGTTTGCCCGACTCTTTGGCATTTTGTTCTACGAGGTCATTTCCCGTGGCTCCCAATTCCGGTGCGTGCCTGCGTGGGTGCATGGATGCACGTGTTGTGTGTGTGTGTGTGTGTGTGTGTATGTGTGTGTTTTGTGTGTGTGTGTGTGTTGTGTGGATATATGCTTGGGGTTCGTTTTCGCAGTGATGTACGTGTTGCATGTGGTAAATGGCTTGACACAGCGCTCTTGCTTCACTTGCTTCGCTGGCATGTTTTGTTTGCATCCGCCGTTTGGTTGTTGATGGGAAATTCACGATTTGTCGTCTGTTTCTTCCGCGCGTGGCCAGAGTTGAATCCATCATGCTCCGCATTGCACATCCACGAAACTTTATCATGATATCTCCAAGCAAGGACCAGGTCTGACACGCTCATGTCACCTTCTAATTGTTCATTTGTGCGTGACTGCATGTGTGTATGTGAGTGAGATGCACGCGTCTAATCTCGTCATATGGCTATTGCATCCACCTCATCCACGCGGTGCAAATCCTTGCCCCACCTCCGGTCCTTTTCCCCGTTCCTCCTCCACCCTCCTCCCGCACAACGCACGTACACAGGTCCGCAACCAGCGCGCCCCAGAAGCGCTGCCGCTCATATTGGAGCCGGAGAGCAAGTTCTACAGCAGTCCGGTGCTCGTGCTGGACTTCCAGTCCCTCTATCCGTCCATGATGATTGCCTACAACATCTGCTTCTCCACGTGTCTCGGGCGTGTGCCAGGCACCGCCACACGACGGGCAGCATATGGTGATGGCGATGCTGGTGGCAGTGGCACAAAGTTTGGGGTGTCGCACTTTGACCTTCCTCCAGGCCTGCTCTCGGACTTGGTCGACCAAGACCTTGTGCACATCTGCCCAAATGGCGTCATGTGAGAGTGAATGGAACTGAACGCGTGCAGATGATGGTGCTTGTGCTGCTGTTGTTCTTCGATGTCTGTCGTGCTCTGTATTGTGCGCGGATTTTGCTTGTAATGGCTATCGATTCGACAAGTGCTACCCTCATTCGACTTACGCCATCACCTGCGTGTGTGTGTGTGTGTGTGTGTGTGTGTGTGTGTGTGTGTGTTTCTGTGTGTGCGTGTGTGTGTTTCTGTGTGTTTCTGTGTGTGCGTATGTGTATTCCATTCAGGTTCTGCAAGCGAGAGCTACGTGGCGGTGTGCTGCCGGTCATGCTGGACGAGATTCTGCGCACGCGAATCATGGTCAAGCAGTCCATGAAGGAATCAGACGTCTCCCAGGCCATGCACCGCCTCATGAACGCTCGGTGCGCTGGCTGGCTGTGTGTGCGTGTGTGTGTGCGTGTGTGTGTGCGTGTGTGTGCGTGTGTGCGTGTGTGTGTGTGTGTGCTTTTTTGCTTGAACTTGTGTGTCGTGCTGTTCACGGACATTACCGAATGTCCATTCCCAATGCTCTCAACTGCCAGGCAACTCGGGTTGAAGCTGATTGCCAATGTCACATACGGATACACCTCGGCAACATTTTCCGGGCGAATGCCGTGTGTGGACATTGCAGACAGCATCGTTCAATCGGTGCGATCATGAGTCTGCTCGGTCGCTTACGTTTGTGTGTGCGTGTGTGTGTGAATGTGTGTGGCTGCGTTTGTGCTTGCGCTCGTGTGTGCATGCGTTTGCGCGCGTGTGTGTGTGTGTGTGCGTGTGTGTGTGTGTGTGTGTGTGTGTGTGCGTTTGTTCACGCTTCCATGCCCTGGTGCAGGCACGTGAGACGCTGACACGCGCGATGAGAATGGTGGAGACCAACCCAAAGTGGAACGCCAAGGTATTCTGTCGTGTGTCAGCAATACGCGACTTGCAATTCCGTAAATCAACCTGAACGCCGGCATACACGCACACGCACAGCTGAAACCCATCGTCTCATTGCTCGTGTCCTTGTCTCTGCTTGTGACACGCTGACGCAGGTTGTGTACGGCGATACGGACAGCATGTTTGTGCTACTGCCGGGAGCAACAAAGGACCAAGCGTTTGCCATTGGCAAGGTCAGAACGACACAATGCCATTGACACGCTGTGGTGTTTAGGAATGCGCTGGGCTGCTCCGTGGTTGCACACACATGCACGAACACACGCACACGAACACGAACACAAGAACACACGCACACGCGCACACGAACACGAACACAAGAACACACGCACACACGCACACTCACACGCTCACGTACGCACACGCGCATACTCACTCACTCACAACTCCCTTATGCGCGTCTGTCCTGTGTCTGAGCGTGCAGGAAATTGCAGAGGCCGTGACGGCAGCAAATCCGCCACCAGTCAAGCTCAAGTTTGAGAAGGTCTATCTTCCATGCATCTTGCAAACGAAGAAACGGTACGACACACCTTATGTCCAACACATTGACTGCCTCCTTCCCCTGTCTTGCTGTTGCGCTGTCGTGAAGATGAGGGAGCCAATGAGGTGTGTGTGTGTGTGTGTGTGTGTGTGCACGTGCGTTTGCATATCACGTACGGAAACGCAAACTTGAATGCTCACATGCTCACACCATCCTCCCAACAACCGCAGGTACGTTGGATACATGTATGAGAAGCCAAGCCAGAGGGAGCCCGAGTTTGATGCCAAAGGCATCGAGACCGTTCGCCGTGATGTTTGTCCCGCCGTTGCCAAGGTGCGCGATACGTGCGCGCGCGCGTGCGTGCGTGCGTGCGTGTGTGCGTGTTTGTGGTGTACCAACGATTCGTGGTCGATGCCATCGTGTGTATCGTCGATAAACATGTGATAATTCGTGGTGATGACATGGTGCACACTTGACTGTTGCAGATTATGGAGCGCTGCCTCCGGATGCTGTTTGAGACGCGAGATTTGAGCAAGATCAAGGCATATCTCCAGCGGGAGTGGATGAAGATCCTCACCAGCAGGTTTGTTGATTGCGGTGACGCTGTTTGCTGCCCGAATGTCATTGTCCTTTCCTTCGTTTGTTGCTCTTGCTTTGGATCTTGTTTTGGTTGCGTACCCAATGTTTGTGCTCGCATGCATCTCATTCATCGCTTGCATTGCGCGTTCACGTGCGTGCCAATGTGTGCCGCTGCGTGCTGCCCACAGGATCAACCTTGCCGACTTTGTGTTTGCAAAGGAATATCGCGGGCGGGAATCGTATTCCGTTCGCGCATGTGTTGCAGCCCTCGAAATTGCAAACCGGTCAGAATGCTTGTGCGTATATGCTCTGTTGCTGGGCCGACGCACACATGACGGAAGCAACCTGCCTTCTTCTGCCTGAAGCTTGGGGGATGAAGCCAAGGAGTGGTGGAGTGCTGGTGCAAGTCTCAAAGCCTGTGCTATCTCTCATCGTCCAACTTCTACGCCTCCGTGTTTGCATGTGTCTCTGCGCACATATTAGTCTGTCTCGCCTCGACCCCCGTGCTGAGCCACGGGTGCGGGAGCGCGTGCCATATGTGATTGTGTGCGGCCCCCCAAAAGCGACGCTCATCTCCCTCGTGCGGCAACCGGAGGAACTGCTGGCGGACCCGGGCCTTCGCCTCAACGCGCTCTACTACATCAAGAAGCAGATTATCCCTCCGGTGCGCGTGTCTTGTGCTCGTTTGTTTGTTTGTTTGTTTGTTAGTTTGTTTGTTTGTGCGTGTGTGCGCACACGTTTTGTCCAACCCTTGCGAGACATCTTACGCTCTGTGTCAATCTTGCGCGATGTCCTGCGCTCATGTGCACCCTGCTGTTTGAACGATTGCAGTTGGACCGGTGCTTTAACCTTTTTGGAATCTACCTGACTCCGTGGTTTCAGGTGAACCCTTTGATATCGCACTCATGCCATCATGCCATCACACACACACGCGCGCGCCTCACGCAGCTGTTTCTGTCTTGCCTTTCTTCTACCTGGCCTCGTCACACAGGAGCTGCCAAAAGTGTATCGAACTGCTAATGCGTTTGCTGCGCCGCAGTTTGGACTGCACAACAGCCACCAGCGCTCCACCATCGACCAGGTGAACGATGGTGCAGTTTCACACATGCGTGCATGTGTGCATCGCGCATTCCTTTCCCCACATGCACACGCGCATGAATTTTAGCCTCTTTGCGCTCACTGCTGTATGCTGTTGCGATTGGGATATTGGTTTCTAGTTTTATCGGAGCCGGCACTGCGTCATTTGTGGAGAACTGACGCAAGGCGCTGTCTGCGCAAACTGTAAGCGCGATCCTGCGGAAGCCACCGTGAGTCACCTTCAGGCCGCACAGAGCCACCTGCGCGCGCGCGCGCGCGCGCGTGTGTGTGTGTGTGTGTGTGTGTGTGTGTGTGTGTGTGTGTATGTGTGTATGTGTGTGTGTGTATGTGTGTATGTGTGTGCTTCGGTGCATAGTGACTTGTCGTGGATGATGACAACAGCGCGATGTGAGTGAGTCCCCTCAACAACCCGGCCATATGCATGCTGTTCAGGTTCGATTACATGCGCGAGTAACACTGACGGAACGGGAAATGGCCATCTTGAAGGTTGGTCGACCCGCGATGCGAAACGAATCATACTGCAACCGCCACACACACACACACACACACACACACACACACACACACACACACACACACACACACACACACACACACACACACACACACACACACACACACACACACACACACACACACACACACAATACTATCGATTGCTGGCCATTCAACAAACAGCGCCACCGCCCACTTCTCAAACCTCGCTCAAATCCTTTCGCACTGACTTGATTGTGTGCAATTACAGGGGATTTGCCGCCGCTGTATGGGATTCACCCTGGACAACAACGTTGCGTGTGTGTCTGTGTGGTGCCCTGTACTGTACCAGCGCTCACGGCTGCATCACAAACTGAAAAACGTGCGCGTGTTGCGGTCTCTGGACTTTTAATGGATGTTGCGGATACAAAAAGGCGACAGCGCCACTCGTGTGTTTCATTTCTACATGCCAACTACCTTGACTCTGTACATGGCTCACGTGTGTATGTTCAACAGTAAGTTCAAATGAATGTGTAATAGGCACGTTGCAGTGGCTATACGAACCCAATACACGATCGGACGCATTGATGAGTGCTGTCATGGTGCTGCATGCTGTGTGACACCACAACACAAACCGCTAGACCGTCACTGCTTCGACAGCAATTTCAAAAGCCGCCCCTGCACAATGGGTTGTGATGCAGAGCAGCATTGCCATAAGGTAATTGTGAGGAACGCGCGCGTGCGTGTGTCTGTGTGTGTGTGTGTCTGTGTCTGTGTGTGTGTGTGTGTCTGTGTGTGTGTGTGTGTGTGTGTGTCTGTGTGTGTTTGTGTGGGTGTCTGTGTGGGTGTCGTGTGAAGTTCATGGTCTTTGTTTTTTGCTTGCAGGCATTCATGTGTCGGACATGACACGAACCGATTTTGCCTTTTTCCGCGACTGCGACGAGGACGTTGCCCGAGCGCGCTTGCCATCCCCAGAAATCTGCGCAGCAAACAACATCGCATCGACACAAAAGTTGTTCACATATCCGTGAGTGCGAAGGGCATGCATGCACAGACAGCTGCGTGTCCGTGCTGAAACGAACATGCCATGAGCAACACATGTCGTGGCTGATGGTTGGATGATTGGTATCTAACCTTCTTGCCCGTTTTAGGATCACGCGGCACAAGAGGCCCATGCAGCGGGCAGCGCACCTGACCATTGGGAACGTGTTTTGTGTGTGTGTGTGTGTGTGTGTGTGTGTGTGTGTGTGTGTGTGTGTGTGTGTGTGTGTGTGTGTGTGTGTGTGTGTGTGTGTGTGTTTATATTTGCTTGTGCGAGCGTGTTTATATTTGCTTGTGCGAGTGAGTATGTGAGTGCGTGTGAGCACACCTAACAAATATGTTCCAGACCAGGTGTGGCCATTACTTACCTTGACTTTGATCTGACAAAGGACAGGGTTTCCCTCGTCATCCGTTTGTCCCGGCAACGGAGCGCCACACGTCTCATATACCGGCTACAGATGACAGTGTGTGTGTGTGTGTGTGTGCGCGTGTATTTGTGAACAGAACACAAGAGCACAAGGCAACCCAGGTCTATTGAAAGTAAATTCAAACACGGTGGCTCACTGGTGCGTGCACATGTGTACTCGTACTGTGGGAGCGGCGATGCGATCGCGCTCATCGCGACAGATGAGACGCGACACGTTGATGTTGATTTCCTGTTTGAATCCATCGAAGAGGCAACAGGGTGTTGAGTACATGTGAGAACACACACACACACACACACGCTCTCAAGAAGAGCTCTTCAACCCATCACTCAGCACAATCACGACCAAATCCCTGCTCCGTTGCGCACGTTGCACAACATGTCCTGCCAATTGCGTTCACAAAGCGCTCATACCGAATCGCCGCCAGAGCCCCACACCCGATGCAGATTTTGTGCAGCTGGCAAACAAACACAGGCCACACATTGAAGTCGTTTCGCATGAGCGCGTGAAGGAGCACCACAAGATTCGCTCAACAACAATTGTCGACAAACGCCAGGGAAGGAAGCAGAGGCAACTGGCATGTTTTCACCGCCAACTTACCAGCCATATTTAGCATGAACACGGCATCGTCGGTGCTGTCCTTATCATCATCCTCCTTGCGTCGAGACCTTCGCCTTGGGACCACGGCTGCACGCGCTGATGATGATGAGGAGGAGGAGGACGAGGAGGAGGAGGACGAGGAGGCTGTTGCTGCCGTTGCTCTTGCTCTTGCTGTTGCTGTTGTTGTTGCTGTTGCTGTTGCTGTTGCTGTTGTTGTTGCTTGCCGTGTCGCAGAAGCAGACGCGGATGAAGAAGAAGACCGGGAGGGAAAAGAGGCAGAAAGAGAAGGTTGTTGCTTCCTTGGCGCTCGACTCACACTGGTCTGATTACCAACGCGTGCTGCTGAGGCTGATGCGTCCGGTTGAGGCGTTGGTCGGTCGCCCTGACGAAAGGCATTCGCGGTTGGCGTCACGGTGCTGCCCACAACGTGACTGAGACGCTTCTGCCGATGCGACGTCCGCTGCCGCAGCGGGGACGCGGGCGTCTGCTTTGCGCTCGTTTCATTCGCTTTCGATGTGATGCGCGGCTTGTACACCTTGCGAGGCAGCGACGATGAAGGCGACGATGAAGGCGACGGTGGCGACGCTGCTGCCTTTGCTGCCTTTGCTGCCTTTGCTGCATTTGCTGCATTTGCTGCATTTGCAGGTGACGCTGTTGCTGTTGTTTGTGCCCTTGATGTCGCTACTGTGCTTGCTGCAGTTGTTGCTGTTGATGTTGTTGCTGCAGTCGTTGCTGTTGCTGCTGTTGCGGGCTCGTGCTTGCCACTTGATGGCGATGGTTGAGCGGCTGGAGCCGTTGATGACGCTGACGCAGCATCGTGTTCTTTCGAGTTCTGGATATCGCAACGAAAGCACGTAGGAAGAACGGACAGGTCAGTGAAGCACACCAAAGTCATGCGCTTGTGTGTGTGTGTGCTTGCTAATATCCCTTGATCCTCTTGAAGTCCCTCGGCTCCACGCAATGTTCTCCCTCTCTTCTTCACATGCACATGCTCTGCGGGTAGTGCACAGGGCGCCTCACCACGAATCGAAACGCGGCAAAGCGGGCACGCGTCTCCTCCAAGCGCTTCTTGAGGGCGAGCAGCGGCAGCGTCACGTCGTTCGGCGCATTCAACTGTGGTCAAACAGGAAGAGAAAGAGACAGTGATAACCTCAGGTGAGCAGTAGCTCTTGTGAAGCATGCACGCATACGCAGATGTGTATGTGTGTGTGCGTGCGTGCGTGCGTGCGTGTGTGTGTGTGTGTGTGTGTGTGTGTGTGTGTGTGTGTGTGTGTGTGTGTGTGTGTGTGCGTGCTCTCGGGATTGCGTCCATGAATGTTGGTGCACATGAATGGAATATTGGGTCATCACGCAACGGCCGGGCACTGGACGATGGAAAACATGTCAAGAGCACATGTGTGTACGTACTCGGAGGGCGGAGGCAAGCAAGCTGCGCACGTGCGGCAAGTCTCGCACCAGGAGCAGCTTGCCCTGCTCCTCAACTGCATCAACAACGGCGCTCGTGTCGCTTGTGCGCTCCACCACAATTGCTTCTTCTGTGCCGTATGTGGCCGATGTGCCGGCGCCAGACCGTGCCAATCGCACCCACTCGTCTGCAGACTCACTGCCCAGAGCAGATCGCTGCGCTGCCATGTGACGCGAAAACGACAGCCCGTCTCCACCCCCAGCGCCCAATGAGCTTGTCCCAGTATGCCGTATTCTGCCATCATCATCACCATCATCGTCGTCATCGTCATCGTCATCGTCATCACCAATAAGATCCATAGCAGACACGTGAGCCATGTCGTCGTCGTCATCGTCGTCGTCGTCGTCGTCGTCGTCGTCGTCGTCGTTGAAGATGTCGAGTGGAGTCTTGGACGCACTGGCGGCTTGCCGCTGCTTTGCCAGGCGTTCATGCTGCTGTTGTCGTTGCTGCTTCTTGTGCTCCTCCTCACGAACACGCGTCACTGACAAAACCGTACAAGGTCCACGTCACAGTGTAAGGACGATGCTTGAAGCGGTGACGCACACACGCTGACACAAACAGAGCAAACAAGTTGTAACCAAGTACGCACACGCTCACTCGCACGCGCACACGCTCACACACACGCGCGCGCACACACGCTCACACACACATGCACGGCACCTTGTTTCAACAGGCTGAGGGAGTTTTCAAGCTGGGTCACGGCGTCCTCCACCTGGGGCAGGCTCTCTGGTTGCGACAGTTTAGATCAAGGTTCACAGTACACGAACGAGTTGAGATGGAGGTGAAAGCCAACAACACCACGACCTCACCTCCGCGCCTGCACGTGGACGCACACCTGTGATGGTCGCCTGTAGCTCCTGCAGCTGACGGCTGCGCATGTCGGCTTCAGAAGCTGCAGCGCTGCAAGGCATGAGTGTGATGAAGTGACGACGACCGTGAGACAGCGAATGATGTGACAACGATTGTGGGGTTGTGTGGGTGTGTGTGTGAGCATGTGGGTGTGAGTGTGGAATAACGACGTGCAGCACACGAGTTGCTCAGCAAGCATTCACACGGCATCCACGCGTTCGCGTGTCCGAGTTGGCATTCCGGGCGAACGCGCGCGTACCCTGTGTCATGCTGTTGCTGCTGCTGCTGTTGTTGCTGTGCCTGACGAAAGGGCTCAGCCTCAATCTGGTCCAGCTTGATGTTGCACGTGTGCTCGAGGTAGGTTGCAGCAAACCGCAGCTGGGTGAACTTTTCCTGGAACCGGTCGAGCCACCCTTTGAAGATGCGAAGCGCCGCGGTGCGTAGTTCCCGCTGCTCGCGCGACCTACAAGGATGTGGTTTGGTGTGTGAGCGAACATGCTTGTAATTTGCAGGGAGGGCAGTCTCGTTCCTGAATGCACACGCAAGCGCCATTGAAGCTGCAGCTGGTCACAGCCAACTCACAAGCGCACGCCTGCGCACACGAATGTATGCACACCTACACATGCATGCATTCATATTCAACACACACGCCCGATACGCGCGCGTACACATACACATACACATACACGCGCACGCAAACGCACGCACACACACACACACACACACACACACACACACACACACACACACACACACACACACACACACACAAATGTACACTCACGACTTCTTCGAAGGACAGCATGTGATGGTCTGATCAAGGATGCGGCGGAGATGGGGCAAGGTAAGGCTTCGAAACTGTGCAGAGCGCATGAAGAGCGTGTTGATGATGTCCATGGCGCTTGCACGCACGACTGGACTTGTTTCCTCGAGATACAGCTTCAGCCGTGCGTGCGCTTCATCGATGGCCTGAGGTGACCTCTTGCACAGCGTCTTCAACCGTCGAAGAGCAACGTCCTTAGATAGAGATGCGTGGTCGTTGCCAGCAGAAGCAGGTTGCTCGCCTTCATTTTCATCACCATCACTGCCGTCATCATCGTCGTCGTCACGTTGGTCTCCTCCTCCTCCTCCTCCTCCTCCTCCTCCTCGCCCTCCTCTCCTTCCTCTCCTCCCACTTTGCTTGCTGTTCCCCTTCTTCTTCGTCTTCTTCTTCCTTCTCTTTTCCTCCTGCACGGGCGTGCACAAGACATCCACGAGGGCAGTCACTCCTATGCCCGCTTCCTGGTCCACCACAGCCTCACGCTCATCATCCTTGTTGTTGTGCTGGCTCATCATCGTTGTTGCGTGGATGAATGCTGTGTCCGCTTTTTTTCCCCTCCTTGTTGCTGCTTTGCGTCGTTTGTGTTGCGTTGTTCGTTTTGCCTCTCACCATGTCCGTCATGTGTCAATCAACACCCACATGCGCATTGGCACTGTCATCAGACTTCAACGCACACACACACACACATGCATGGCACTAGTCTGCAAAGGAGATGAGGACGTTGCCTGCAATCTTGCTGCGAATGAAGGTGGCCAGGTCAGCGCACGCAGGCTCCTGAAAAAGTGGTGGTGCAAGCAGTGGGATGAGAAGTGTGCACTCAAGTCAGTGGAACGAAGATACGGTCTGGAAGAACACCATCTGTGCGCACACACACACACACACACACACACAACGTACAAACTGCTTTGGTCCCGTCAGGATGACGCGTCGCGTCTTCTTCGTGTCTGTAATTGCAGTCACAACGCAAAAACACATGAGCCGCATGCAAGGGCACACTGCGAGGGCTATACGCACACACACAGACACACACACACACACAGACAGACACACACACACACACTGCATGTACCTGTTGAGGAGATGACGATGGAGTTTTCAACGCAGCAGGAGACGCTGTCCTCTGGCAGCGACAGCGCGGCCGTTTTTTCCTATTGGACGACAGCACGAACGCAGAGAGCAGTGGTGTGGTGAGCGAGGACGGAAAGCAACATGAGAGGAAGGTACACAAAGGCACACACACACACACACACACACACACACAGAGCAAAACCCACATGTACATGCATACACGCATTCCACACACCCATATACACAAAACACAACCAGACAAACAGCACAACCACACACACACACACACACAAGCAAGAATTAACCTGCAGGGCCTGGCAGAACTCGAGCATGTCCTCATCGGACAGATTCTCCACATTTGGCAGTCCTTCGACGTCGCCAATGCGCGCTTCATCGCTCTCCACCTCCACCACGTCTCCGCCAGAGAGGAGCGATGTGATGGACGCGTCCAGGTCGATGCTGGCCGGGTGCCCACGCCACACAATGCGACCCTCCTTGAAAAGAAACCATGCAGGCAGCGCTGTCACAAGGCCAACACGTGCACAGGGGTGGTGGTGGTGGTGGTGGCAAAGAAAGACGAGGAGGAGGCAGAGGAGGAGAGGTTGGCGTGCATGCATGTGTGTGCGTGTGTTTTGGGGCGGGGGGTGTGCACGTGTGTGTGTGTGATGTGAGCATGCTGCAAAGCCGAAAGCAGACAAAACATCAGCTCGCAGTGCACGCACACACGCACGTGCACACACGCAGTACACGCACAGCTGAGGCTGAGGTAGGTGTCGCACGCTTCGCGGCCGAGCCAGAGATGTCGCGGTCGCTCGCATGCCATCTGCGCAGATGCAGTGCGGACGGCAACGAGGGATGGGAAAAGGTGGAAGGTGTGAGGTGTCGAGGGATGACTGTGAAACCTTTCCCCACTGTACACAGCGCAGCAGCGCACGCTCAGCCAAAGTGCACCACCACTGCACGGCACCTTTGCAATGGTGGCGGTCGCCTCCGACGGTGTGTCGTCCAAACTCGCAGTTGCGATGCACACGCTGTCTTCCCAGCTCTCGTGCTCACTCAACAGCTTGTCGTACTCCCCCAATGCCTAAACCCACAGACAGCAGCACGGGGAGACTCGCGTGACAATGGGAAGAAAACGCCCACCACCTTTCGCTCGACCCTGCCTCGTACATACACGTACATTGCATCATCACACACACACACACACACATTTCAGCACACACACACATTTCAGCACACACACACACACATTTCATTCAGCACATCCACACCCATCTACATACCTCGAGGCTTGGCTCGCACCAAGTGGCCCAGACATCCAATAGCGCAACCTGAAGTGAAAGCCATTGAAAATGCATGTTGTGTGAGAACAAGTGCAGACCATATCGACACACGGAAGCAGCTGGCACGACGTGAATTTGTTATCAAACTCTCAAACCCATGCACACACAATGACACACCCACACGCACACTGAAACATTCACACGCACTGACACACACGCAGGCACACATGCCACGAGTACCTTGGAGCCGATGACAGCGTCCAGTGTAAGTTGATTGCCGTTGGCCAGATCGGTCACCTCGGCATGAGGGCAAAGGTCGCCTGGCGCAGCCCCGATACTGATCATCGGCAGCACGTTCATCCCCTGAAGCACAGCAGCGTGGGGGGGGGGAGAGAGAGAAAGGCAAAACCGGAAGAGGAGGAAGAGGAGGGGAGGAGTGTCAGCAATCCTTGAAGCACAGACAGTGAAGCACATGCAGCAACCACCCACAGCCATGCCCGCATCTATGCCCACATCCACGCTCACATGTCCAGAACACACACCCACGCCCACACATCTACACTCACACCAACACATCTTCACGCAAATGCGTGAGCGACAGGGTTGCCCTCATCTGCTTCACACCAATTCCATGACGCCGTGTGCTATGCTCTCCAGCTGTGCTTGTTGTGAAGAAGAAATATGCCCATTGAGGTGCAGTGCCGTGTCCTGTGTCACCCTGCATGTGACAGCGCCATCCCCAGTGAGCCAACACGACAAGAACAAACAGAAACGCTTTTCCGTCAGCGGGTAGGAAGTGAAGCCCTCCGCACAACACATACACACATAAATACACACACGCACACACGCGCGCAGACACACGCACACACACACACACACACACGCACACGTAGACATAAACACACACACACACGCACACGCGCATACACGCACACGCACACACAGATGCACATACACATGCACATACACATGCACATACACATGCACATACACATGCACATGCACATGCACAACCACGCACATCTCCTCCCTGCTCCCCCTCAACTGTTCAAACCCCCAAATGCGCAGCATCCCACTCACTCGTCTGTTCCAAATGCAAACTGAATAGTTTCATTCAACAGCGCGGTCACGCCTGGCAGGTCGCAGCGCTGGAGCAGCGCTTTCACGTGTCCAACCACATCCTCTTCGCTGCGACGCTCCTCCTCCTCCTCCTCCTCCTCCTCCTCCACCTTCTCCTTCCTTGCGCCAGCACGCTGCATGTTGGAGTTGTCGTCGTCTTGAGTTGGCGAGGTCATCCCTTGCTGAAAATTATGTAAAGCACCGCATATTCCTCTACAACCACCTGCTCCCCAGCCACGTGTGTTGAGTTTGAACAACACAGCACGCACAGCGCACAGAGCACACAGAGCACCGCGCACATCGCATCGCACCAGCGCAAGCCAAGATGGAGGCTGTTGACAAGCTTGACGAAGCACTGCAACGGGTGGACCCGATTGTGCGAGAACTCACAGCTGCAGATCCTGCAGAGCTGAGATCAAGGGTACGATGGTGCGCTCAGCTTTGTTCTTGGGGCGTGTGCGTTGTGATTGCGACTTTTGTGCCTGAACCACACTGCACACACCCTCATGCTTTTGCCTTGACTTCGTCGCTGCTGTTGTTGTACCTTGCCAGCTCACCGCTGTGGAGTCTGCCAAGATGGATCTCATGACAGCATACACAATGAACTCCCTCTTCTGGAGTATGTTCCTGTCTGTGTGTGTGTGTGTGTGTGCTTGTGTGCGTGCGTGTGCATTTGTGTGCATGTGTGTTCGATGTGGTCACGTGACATATGTCAGCGTGCGCACGTACGTGTAGAAGAGTGAATGCCTACCTATCCGCCTGTGGTTTCAGTTCCCGCGAGCCCTTGCTTGCTGCCATGTGCTTTCTTGAATTTGTTCCTCATTGGCGAATCGTTTGTTGGCGGTTGTGATGATGTGATGCTGAAATGTAGTGTTCTTGAGTTCGCGAGGCATCGACCCAAAGACACACCCCGTTCGCAAGGAGCTTGTAAGTTATTTTTTCACTGCTGCTGATCGCTGTGTATTGTTTTTGCTGTACCGCGCCGCATCCGCTCACCTTGCTTTTCGCATTGCAGGATCGTATCAAGGAGTACATGGCTCGCGTACAAAAGGCCGAGAACCCAGACGCCCGCGACGAGGGTACGTGTTTGTGTGTGTGTGTGTGTGTGTGTGTGTGTGTGTGTGTGTGTGTGTGTGTGTGTGTGTGTGTGTGTATCAGTTCACGTATGCATACATGTAAGGGTGCAAGTTGTGTTTGTAGCAACTTTGTGTGTGTGTGTGTGTTGTGTGTTGGAGGTTGTCTTCGTGCCTACCTTCGTGCCTACCTGCCTGCCTGCCTGCCTGCCTGCCTGCCTGCCTGTGCCTTCCTCTGTGCATGTATGTTGTCACTGATATGCGTGTCCACTACATCTCCTTTTGCCCTGGTCCCTTTCCCCGTCCCCTTATCATGCGCATGTCTACTTCTCTTGGCAGCCCAACCATCTGTGAACAAGGCGGCTGCCAAGCGGTTTGTCAAGGCCGCGCTGAGCAACGCCGGCGACAACACCGGGCAGGAAGAGCAGACGGCGAAGAAAGCAAAACACAGCAAACAAGGTACGCGCACTGGCCGCTTCCTGACAGCGTCTCTCGAGCCACGTGAATTGGCAAAGCCATGTCGTGCTGTGTGTGTTTCGTGTTCATGGACATGTCGTGATGATGAAGATGAGAGGAGGAGGAGGAGGAGGAGGAGGATAGTAGTGGTGATGGTGGTGGTGGTGGTGAAGCATGGCCGGTTAACTCATACCCTGCCCAATCGCTTTCCTCTTGCCACCAACCCCTTCCCCCCCCCCCAGCTGGAACACCAAAGTCAGCGTCGAAGAAGAAGAAAAAGAAGAAGAGCAAGAAGAGCGACTAATGTCTGCGCAGTTGTTAACCTGCGTGCACGTGTCTGTCTGTCTGTTTGTTTTGTGTGTCTGTCTGTGTGTCTGCATGCGTGTGCACATGTACGCACGTGTGTGTGTGGCCTTGGTGTTTGTGTGCGTGCGTGTCCGTGCATGTGTGCGTCGTTCGTTGTACCTGTGAATGTGTCTTGCATTCTGTGTGGTGGGCTGTTCCCACCTCGTTGCGATACCAGCTCCACTGTGTGTCTGTTTATCGGTGTTGCTTGCATTGTTGATGTGAAGAAGAATATCGTGCCCAACAACGCACTGCTAGTACAATTTGAACATAAACAGCCACGTCTCTCATATGCACGCCTGCATCGGCAGGCGGCAACAAATAACAAGCAAACGTGTGCAATACCAACCAATAACCACCACAGCCTTTCCGGCCGTGCCTGCAACCACACATGAGAGAGAGCAAGACAAACAGCGAAAGGGGAAACACGAAGACAATAAGAGCTGGTTCAACTACAAAGCAAAAAGGGGGCAAAGCCAACTTGAGAGAAGCAGGAAAAGCGGGCAATGGGACCAATGGTGGCTGATTGGTCTTTGGTGTTGTGGAGGAGGGGTTGACGGTAATGGATGAACACGACTGCCTTTGATTGTCCTTCATTCACGTGGAATGGGTGTAGTACTATTGTGTGGTGGTGGTGGTGGTGGTGGTGGTGGTGGTGGTGCATGGCACGCCACAGGATGAGGTGTTAAAGGCCCGAGTACACGGGCCGCCGCCGCTGCTTCTGTGCGCGCAGCAGCACCTCCCGCTCCAGCTCCCGTCTGACAACACGATGGTGGTGGTGGTGGCGGTGGTGGTGAGGATGATCATGGTGGTGAGGATGATCATGGTGGTGAGGATGATCATGGTGGTGAGGATGATCATGGTGGTGAGGATGATCATGGTGGTGAGGATGATCATGGTGGTGAGGATGGCGGTGACGTCATATCGTGTCAATGCACGGACGACGGGTCCACTCAACACGATGGAAGAATGAACAATAAATGGATGCAGTTGACAGCGGAGCAGGGCAATGGCAGTACTTACTTGTGGCGCGCTTTTCTCCACCTGTACACAACGATCCCCACAACAGCAACGCCGGCTGCACGTTCACAGCCACGCAAATGAACCCAAACACAGCAGTTAGAGGTGAGTAACGTCGCAAGATTTTATGCTGCTGCTTCTCTCTCACACACACACACACTCACACACACACACACTCACACACACACACTCTCTCTCTCTCACTCACACACACACACACTCTCTCTCTCTCTTTGTGTGCTTGGAGCAGCTCAAGCTGCGAATTGTCATTTGTTTCGATGCAAGCATGAGATGAAAAGCAAAACATACCGACGGAGAGACACGAAATGACAGCAATCAGCTGCCCAGTTGCCTTGCACTCCTACAAAATGGACGAACCATTCAAGAAGGTCCATGGGAACACATATGAGCCAGTCAGTGAATCATCGCCAATCATCGCCGCGCATCACACAAGATATGCGGCAAGCATGAAACGGTTGCAGACAAACTAGCAAGCCTTCAAGCAAAGCGAGGTATCAGCAAAACAACTGCAGATGAAATGCGCATGTGCTGACGACCTTTGGCGTTGCCTTGAACATGGAGGGGCACGTGTGGGGGCGGGTGGACTGCGGTGGGCAGTAGCGGTGTCGAGGACATGGCTTCATGGTGCTGCTGTCAGGGCAGTATGATCCTGCTGGGCACGCAATGCACGTGACACCGCCCTTCTCGAGCTGCACAAACCCGACATCACACGCCTTGCACGCAGTCTGGCCTTGAAGGTCCTGGAAGGTTCCCGTTGGGCACAGCGTGCACGAATATCGCCCATCCTTTGGCTGGACAGACCCCGGCGGGCACTCGTCACACGTTGCACAATATGTATCGTTTCGCCCAGGCACCCTGAGTGTGTGTCGCGGAAGAAGGGGGGGGGGGTTGATGTTGATGGTGGTGTTGATGGTCGCGGCGGTGGCGGTGGTGTTGAGTGGTTGTGCAGATGGGAACAATGGAAATGAGCAAGGAAATCCCCAAAACAAAAACGCAGCAACAACACCATGGTAGGTGCATGTGTGTACATGTGTGTACATGTGTATGTATGGTGGCATTACGTTGCAGATGTGCAGCGGCGGCCGGCGGGACAGGCGACGGGGCACGTCCTCTTGCGCGGATCCCAATAGAACCCCGGCTGACACACGCTGCACGTCGCACCATCCTGCCAGGGCCAACGCATGCACAGATGTGGAGGTGGGAGAGTGTGTGAGTGAGTGCATGTGTGCATGTGTGTGGATGTGTGTGCATGTGTGGGTGTGGGTGCATGTGTATGTGTGTGTGTGTGAGTGTGTGTGTGTGTGTGTGTGAGCGAGTTCGTGCATGAGACGAGGCCATCACAAAGCGGTGTTCAAGCCGCTGTACTGGGACACATGCACACAAATGCACACGCATGTACGCATGTACGCACGTACGCACGTACGCATGCACATACGCACACACACACACACGCACGTATGGTACGCACGTACACATGCACATACGCACACGCAGAGACATACGCATGCCAACGAACCAGGGACATGGTGCCCGCTTCGCACGGAATGCATTCGCTTTGGTTGGCCGAGTTGTGGTAGCCGTAATGGAGCTCAACACAGCTGACGCAGATGCCGTTTGTCAGCGTGAACGAACTGACTTCGCCCGGATTGCACCGCTCGCACCCTGTTCGAAACTGGTGCCAGAGCCAACATGCAATATGTGAGAGGGGGCGATCAAGTGCTAGCACAAGGATCAGTATTGGGGGAGGGGCATTGCAGGCAGCATTGCGTGACCGCTGAAGTGGGACTCAAAAAACACACACACGCACACAAGGCCACCACAACAAACACCATGACGCAGATCCGAGTGATGGTCAAACGTACACACATGCACACGGACACAGCAGACACACACACCTTGGTCGGCCCGTGCCCGGGAGAGCACAGTTTGCACGACGTGGCCCCCGACTTGTCTTGGTAGGTTCCTTGAGTGCAGCGCGTACAGTACGTGATGTTCCCACCGGGAGGTGTGTATCCTGGTCCCGAGTAGCCTTTGGGTGGTGTTGGGCACCAGCCAGCCTTGCACCCACCATGCCCGAAGCATGGTGATTGGCCGCCTGTGAATGACGCGGGCGGGCACGGCTCACACGATGATGTGTTGCCAAACCGCTTTGCTCCTGCAGGAGAAAACGCCAGTGTGAAGGATAGCACAGCAACCCCAACGTATTGTCGCCACCACCACCAGAGGAAGAAGAGGAAGAAGAGGAAGAAGAAGACCAAGAAGAAGAGGAAGACGACATCACAGTCGCTTGCTCCCTGCTCGCTTGCTCGCTCCTCTTGAACAATCACACACACACACACACATTCAACACACATTCAACACGCGCACACACAAGCGCTCTCTCTCTTATTCATGAACCTTGTAGCGATGATGTAGGGGACGGGACAACGAGTACCGCGCTCCACAGCATGAGGAGCAGCATTGTGCCGCCAACTCCGCACAGCCACCTCCAACTGCCTCCTTCTTGTCTCCTCCACGCCGCCATGCACCCCATTCGTTCGGCAATCGTGTGTCTTTGACAGCAGTGCGGATAATTGGTTGAAGATTCCTCTCAACTTTCGACACTGGTGAGTGAGTCATGACTTGCTTGCTTGCTTGTCTTGGTGGCCGCGCGCACACGCACACACACACACACACACACACACACACACACACACACACACACACACACACACACACACACACACACACACACACACACACACAATCCGGTTGCTTCCTGTTGAGCACTCTCTTGGTTTTAGTTAAGTAACATAAGGATGTGAGCATCAGGATTGAACGCGCTTGTAAACGAAGCGAAGGAAGAGTCCTGCACGTGTAGGTGTGAGTGTGTAAAGTTGGAATGTAGTGTAACGACTATTTTGAGACCAGCCCACGCGTTGTTGGGAAGAGTTCATCAGATGGCGCACCGCGTCCTTTCTTCTTCTTCTTCGTTCCTTTTGCTGTTCCAGGCCGCTTCGGACGCCTGTCACACACACACACACACACACACACACACACACACACACACACACACACACAGGTATTGCGATCAATCCAGTGTCCATGCCATGGAAAGTACCCAAGCGTGGATTCACACAACGCACACAAAAGCAGACACAATCACAATCACACAATCACACAATCACACAATCACAATCACAATCACAATCACAATCACAATCACAATCCCACACACACAAAAGTGCTCCGACGCACCCGGACGCGGCCTTCCTGCGACGCATCTCGCGCTGTGCGGACTTGATGCCCTCGCCAATAAAGTCGCCCACGGGCTCCTCCATCACCAACTCGTCATCGTCGTGCAGCGCGTCGTTCAGCACCTCCTGCACGCGCGCATCCACGGCGGGACCCGTGTAGTCTTGCGTCGTCCGCTCCGGCAGATCAAGCTCCAGCGTCATCACGTTCTCGCTCCGATACCTACAACGCAAGTGGACATGCGCGAATGCATGCTCGTCAGACCCCTTGCTGTAAACACACGCACACGCATGCACACGCACACATACAAGCACGCACGCATGCACGCACGAACGCATGCACGCATGCACAAGAAAAAAAAACGTGCCTCCATCGGTACAACACACACACACACACATACGCATACAATTATACACAGGCGGCGGACCTTGGGTTCTTGTCGATACCGCTCTGCACCTGGGAGAAGAGGGTGATGGGCCGGTTGCGGTTCGGGTACGCCGACACGGGTCGGGCAACCACGCCTGCGCTGTCTGCGCCCTCCGTGTGTGTTGCAGACAACAGGCGATACTCTTGCAGCTCCTGTGGGGTGCGCACGAAGGAGGGGTGGATGCATAACCACATGCATATCAGTGGTTGATGACCGAATAAGACGCGCAAACTCAGGACGTCATACTCCAGGCGAACGCGGCGTCTGTGTATCGTGCGAGGATGATATCACGCGCACACACGCACACACGCACATAAACAAACTCACACGCACACACACACACACACACATACACACACACACACACGCACACACACACACACACACACACGGGTATACATGGCTACCTCATCAAAGACTGCACGCTTCCTGAACTTTGCCGCCTCCTCTGGGGGCATAAAGTGCTCGATGATCAGTTCCTTCAGGCGAAGCTGCTTTCGCGTCTCCTGCAGCGTGCGTGCGTGGTCAAGGCAGCACGTGGTGCGAGCACATTAACACATGCAGCGAGAACAGGGACAACAAGTACAGGAGACTACAAGCTGGAACAGGCATGTGGAGATGCGTCGCAAACACAACTGTCACAAGTCGCGATCACACTCACGTCCAGGAACACAACAACAACCAAAAAAAAAAAAAAAAAGGCCCACACCTCTGACTCGTGCATGATTGTGTCGCGCTGCTCGTAGAACATTTCATCAAGCTCGCCTAGCTCCTGCTTCACCGTCTGATAAAGAGGCGACGAGCAACGAAACGCAGTGCACGCGTATGTGCAGGATGCATGAGCACACACAGCTCTCAAATCAACGACAGTGGGAGCCACCCGCAATTGAACTTTCCAACACACACACACAGACACACACACAGACACACACTCACTCACACACTCACACACACACTCACTCACACACTCACACACACACACACCACGCCAGCACACCTCATATTTGTGAAAGAGCTTTTCGAGCTTCTCTGTCTTTGCGCGGACGGCGTCGCGCAGGGAGGAGAATTTGTCCTCTGCCAGCATCCGCTGTGTCTCGTGCCGGTCCAGCTGCTGCTGTAACCGCCTGTAACAAGCAGAAATGGTGGTGGTTGTGGTGATGGTGATCATGGTTGTGATGGTGATGGTCGGTGTGTGAGTGGTAGGAAAGCGGTCTGGAGCAACCTCACTTCCACTTCCACGTGTTCCCATGCAGATGACAGAGCAGGGAATGTGGCAGCACATCAAGACCAGCAGGTGCCATCATGTGGCAGGACGTACTCTGCCTTCTTCTTCTCCTCCTCCACGCGTTTCCTCTCCCGCCGCAGCCGCGCCTCCTGCTCCGCCGTGTACTCGTTGATGTCCTTGCCTGTCGTGATGGTGTGGTCAGCAAAGCCAAACGCATGAGAAGGCGGACAAGGCACCGCACGCGATGTTCATCCGGGGGGAGGGAAGGAGGGATGTTGACGTCTTGCAGCCTCTGTAAAGAACAGTCACGGCTATGGGCACCATCACATCACCATCCCTGCAAGCGCCATCATCGTCCATCCATCCACCACTATCTCCACCATCACGACGATGGGTTGTGCGCACCTCCGACGAGCAAGCGCGACTCGAGGGCGGCGATCTTGGCAGAGAGCTCGGCCGCCGCCTGCTCCTCCCGCTGCATCTGCTGCTGCTTCTCCTCCATCTCCCGCCGAAGCCGGTCCTTCTCCTCCTGCACACAAACACACACAATCACACGCACACACGAACACACACACGCGCGCGCAATCGCATGTACACGCATGTGGTGAGTTGTTAACGTGTGTCCTGTTCTGTGTATCCTGTTGCGTGTGCCTTTGTGTGTGTGTATCCTGTTGCATATGCCTTTGTGTGTGTGTGTGTGTGTGTGTGCGTGTGTGTGTGTGTGTGTGTGTGTGTGTGTGTGTGTGTGTGTGCTTCGATATGGGCATGCATTGCAGCAACGGAGAGCAAGAAAGAGGTGTGCACCTGAAGGATGGTTTGATCCTGTAGCATTCGCTGCTTCTCTTCCTCTGCACCACCAAAAAGCAACGAGCGAGCTGAATGAGTCCCTGTTTTGTCATAGCAACACAAACAACTCGCGATAGCAAATAGACATGGAGACGTGCACATGCAAACGCACATGCACACGCACACACATGTACACATGATGGGGAGAGAAACGAACCGAGTTTCTGGAAAGCCTGCTCACGCAGACGCCTTGCTTCCTCTTCATTGTAGGCACCGCCTTCTTCCTCCTCCTCGTCTTCCTCTTCCTCTTCCTCCTCAATGGGTTGACCTGGGAGAACACGGCAGGAAGTTCGCATGAGACAAACGTCATGAAACGCAACAAACAAACAAACAGACAATCAACACAAACACATACCCAGCCATGCACTTAGGATACTTGTGTGTGTGTGTGTGTGTGTGTGTGTGTGTGTGTGTGTGTGTGTGTGTGTGTGTGTGTGTGTGTGTGTGTGTGTGTAGCGTGTAGGTGTGTGTGTGTGGGTGTGTGTAGGTGTGCACACACGTGTGCACAACATCTCAGCTCACCGTCTGCGTCGTATCGGATGGTCTTAACCTTCTTCTTCTTCTTCTTCCCGCCCTTGCGCTTCTTTCCTCCGCTCCCCTGGCAGAGTGCAATGCAACACCATCATGAGGCGATTGGGGTTGGAGAGGGGTGCGGGAGTGAGACGTGTCTCACCATCACAGCAAGAGACAGATGGAGAGATGCCACCCAGCACAAGCTCACACACACAAGAAACACACACACGCACACACATGTACCTTTGATTCAAGCTGATGTTTCAGCGCTGCAATTTCCTCCTGGTATTTCCGCAGGAGCGCATCCTAGACACACACAAACCGCGAGAGCACACGCAGGCAGAGGCAATCACGTCGGTGGTGAGTTTGTTGTTGCCAGCGAGAGTGAAAAAAAAAAAAAAAAAAGAAACAAAAACAACAACGCACGGTGAAGCAAGCAGGCAAACCAGGAGGACTCTCTGCCAGATGGTGGGGCAACAGCAGCAACAGGTGCCATCGTGTGTGTTTACCTTTGGATCTTCGTTGATCTTGGGCTTGTTCTTGATGCTCTTTGCTCGATGGGCATATCCGAGAGTGCTAATTGTTTCGTTGTAGTTGTAGTCCGCGGGCCCAATCGCCGCAATCATCATCGTCTTCGCATTCCCGCCCAACGAATCCTGTCGCAGACGCGTTTGCACGTGCATGTGTGTGTGTGTGTGAAATCGACGTTGAACTAACAAAATCGCATGCACGCCCCCTCGGTGTCACTCCTCGACGTCTTCGTAAGTCTTCAGCGATGCTCACCTGTAAGAGACGGGTGAGGCTGGAGTTGCGGTACGGAACAAACCCGGAGCCCTTTGAGTCAACCAACGCTTTGATCACCTGACAGCCCACAACACGCACACACACAACACCACGCCATGCGTCGATTCAGTTGTACAGCAATGAAGAGTTGTGGGTGTGACCACGCACACTGCACGCATGTACGGACGCTGAGTAACGCTGCACATTCCCTTCCCTCAACGGCGAATTGTTTGAACAGACCTGTCCCAGAGCGGAGAGGGACTTGTTGATGTGGCTGCCTTCTTTTGCACGCTCGCCCTCAGCCATCGTCTTGCCTTGTCGCTCACTCCCTGTCAACACCAGGCGACACCGACACACAACAACTGTGAGGCAAGCAACGAAGAGAGCACCGCCACCGCCACAAACATACACACACATGTACGTGTAATCACACATGAACACAACACCTCAACCAAATTCACAATGCACAACCCCAAACCCACACCACACGCAACACGCAACACACAACGCGCAACACGCAACACGTAACAAAAAGCAGCAGCGTACCGGCAAGATCGACGAGATTGAGTTTGCCGCTGCGGATGTGCGCCTCCCCGTCCTCCCCGGCCTCACTGCACTCCACATTGACCATGAAGATGGCGTGCGACCGCGACGAGTGCGCGTTCATCTTCGTCACGCCGACTTTGCGGTTCTTCCACCCGACACGCATCACCTGGTTGCGGCACGCATGTAGTCGTGATGCAATGAGGTGAGCGTACCGACGGAGTGGTTGCGGTTGTGTATGTGTGTGTGTGTGTATGTGTATGTATGTGTGTGCGTGGTTGTGTGTGTGTCTGTGTGGTTGTGTGTGTGTCTGTGTGGTTGTGTGTGTGTCTGTGTGTGTGTCTGTGTGTGTGTCTGAGTGTGTGTGTCTGAGTGTGTGTGTGTGTGTGTGTGGTTTTGATAAATTGACCAAAGGTTGTGTGCCGAGGTGGGGACATGCCAGACAGTGCATACACTCGGAACATGCAGGGCAGCGCAGCACCTTGTCGATTTCCTTGACGCTCTTGACAACAATAGAGGTGAGGTCTTCCACATACACGCCTGTGTCCGGCGACTCGCGAATCGGCAGTTTGCGCTCCTGGTCCTTTGACAAAAGATCGCGAATGTCTTCCATGTAGATTTCCAGATATGACGCACGCACAAGGTACTGCTTCCCTGCGTGTGTGTGTGTGTGTGTGTG